GTGTGCAGCGATTATGGTATGAAGGTTTGGCTTGGAGAGTTTTTTTTGACTGGTCACAGACAGCTGGTGTGTTGTATACTGAAGTCCACAAGCGAAGGGAAAATGTGAGTGGAGGAGAGCGCGTAGATGTGAGGATGCTGTTTGTATGGCTGCTATAAAAGTGAACTGTGTGATCATAGGTGTATTTATTCCGCCAATTTTGTTGCAAAATGTTTCTTAAACAGAAACAAACTGAATGAAACGGGGATGGACCTACCTGAATTTGTCCAATATAAACTCTTGTTTTAGTTGCAAAACCTAACATTTTGCAACTGTTTGGACTAATGATTACATCCTAGATCTGCTAGATGCAGGCAAGAGTGTGCAAGGCGGTTTTGAATGTGTCACTGTTCGTCAGCTTCATTACTCCTTTTGTCTCGACCTGGGCACCTACGTTATAAACTTTCATTTGTAGGCTAGGTTGTAGCAACCTCATGATGGGTATAGGGCAAATTCGAGTATCATGTAGTAGCCTAAACCTATCGATGTTACATTGAGCTGGATGAAGGACAGACAGTTATCCAATATGCTGTAATAGAAATAAGGCAATGATTATTTAAAAAATGTAATCGTCCTCCCTAATCTTAAACGTCACCAACCGCCAAGTCAAAAGTTTGGACACACCTACTCATTCAAGGGTTTTTCTTTATTTTTACTATTTTCTACACTGTAGAATAATAGGGAAGACAACAAAACTATGAAATAACACATATGGAATCATGTAGTAACCAAAAAGGTGTTAAACAAATCAAAATATATTTTAGATTTTAGATTTTAGAAGTTGCCACCCTTTGCCTTGATGACAGCTTTGCACACTCTTGCATTCTCTTAACCAACTTCACATGGAATGCTTTTCCAACAGTCTTGAAGGAGTTCCCACATATGCTGAGCACTTGTTGGCTGCTTTTCCTTCACTCTGCCGTCGAACACATCCCAAACCATCTGAATTGGTTTGAGGTCGGGTGATTGTGGCGGCCGAGTCATCTGATGCAGCACTCCATCACTCTCCTTCTTGGTCAAATAGCCCTTACACAGCCTGGAGGTGTGTTGAGTTATTGTCCTGTTGAAAAACAAATGATAGTCCCAATGCTGTGGTAGCCATGTTGGTTAAGTGTGCCTTGAATTCTAAATAAATCACTGACAGTGTCACCAGCAAAGCACCCCCACACCATCACACCTCCTCGTCCATGCTTCACGGTGGGAAACACACATGCGAAGATCATCCGTTCACCTACTCTGCATCTCACAAAAACACGGCGGTTGGAACCAAAAATCTCAAATTTGGACTCATCAGACCAAAGGACAGATTTCCACCGGTCTAATGTCCATTGCTCGTGTTTCTTGGCCCAAGCAAGTCTCTTCTTCTTATCGGTGCCCTTTAGTAGTGGTTTCTTTGCAGCAATTCGACCATGAAGGCCTGATTCATGCAGTCTCCTCTGAACAGTTGATGTTGAGATGTGTCTGTTACTGGAACTCTGTGAAGCATTTATTTGGGCTGCAATTTCTGAGGCTGGTAACTCTAATGAACTTATCCTCTGCAGCAGATGTAACTCTGGGTCTTCCTTTCCTGTGGCGGTCCTCATGAGAGCCAGTTTCATCATATACATTTTCCAGATTGACTGACCTTCTTGTCTTAAAGTAATGATTGGCTGTCGTTTCTCTTTGCTTATTTGAGCTGTTCTTGCCATAATATGGACTTGGTCTTTTACCAAATAGGGCTATCTTCTGTATACCCACCCTACCTTGTCACAACACATCTGATTGGCTCAAACGCATTAAGAAGGAAAGATATTCCACAAATTAACTTTTAACAAGGCACACCTGTTAATTGAAATGCATTCCAGGTGACTATCTCATGAAGCTAGTTGAGAGAATGCCAATAGTGTGCAATGCTGTCATCAAGGCAAAGGGTGGCTACTTTGAAGAATCTCAAATATACAACATATTTTGATTTGTTTAACACTTTTTTTGGTTACTACATGATTCCATATGTGTTATTTCATAGTTTTGATGTCTTCACTATTATTCTACAATGTAGAAAATAGTAAAAATAAAGAAAAACCCTGGAATGAGTAGGTGTGTCCAAACCTTTGACTGGTACTGTACATTTATATTTAGTTAATTTAACAGACACACGTTCTTTTCACACTATAGTGCCATCAGACTTCTGATACCAACGTAGGGTGAAAGCGGGCCACAAAATGGTGAACCGCTATACATTTTTTTTTATAGAAAAGTATTTTGTATTTTGAAAATACAAATTACAGCTCTTGAAAGTATCTTGTTACAAAACACATTGGAGTGTAGTTCAGCCCAGTATAATACAAATGACAAAATACTATTTCAAATACATGTAACATAAATACTGCCCATCTCTGTCCACACCACACCACTCCCTCCACTCCACCACGCCCTCCACTCCACACCAAGCATCACGTCAATGTCAGGGCCTCACTCTGATGAGCTTGGCTGTCTTATTTCTGCCTCAAAACCTTGTGGACCAAAACCCTTTTCCTCACAACACCACAAGGTTTTGTCAGGGCCGTACTCTGAGGCTGACTCCCTATTCTGTCTCTACTCCTCACAAAACAGTTCATGACGTTGTTGCTGCTGTTTTCAATTCACACGCAAGGTTATCAAAGGATGACGCCCGTGTTCATATCAATAGAATTATATATTTTTAGGCAGAATTATCTAAAAATAAAATGGCTTGTCTGCCTTTTGAAATGGGTGGGGAAATTATATAAATGGTGGGAAAATAGGATATCAGAGATGCAATGGGAAGTGATTTGCATGGGCCAGAAAGGGGAAGTGATTAGCATAGGCTTTAGATGTCTTAGCCTGGCTCTTAACTGAGGATGACCCCTTTCAGGGCCATGCTCCCCTAACGCCTAATTACTCTGCTGCCTTATTAGAAATCTGTTTCGACTGCTTTTATTTGATGTGGACAAGGACATCATAGGTCAGATTATAGAGAAATAATGATGAAAATGTATGACGCATTGACAATAACATACCTGTACTGTACAGAGTACAACAAAAACATATACTGCCTCTGTGCCCACATACAGTAAAATTAAAAACAGTATCACTCTCGGGTCCATTCTCTAACATGCAAAGTAGATCTGGGCATCAAACTGATGAGAGCAGCCTCTGATCCCCCACACAGCTCAAATATCTAGAGTTATTGTGGAGTGCTGATGGCAGAGTCGGGACGGGACGCAAATGCCAGCTTGATGTTTTCACTCAGACCCAACGGCCATCGTGAAAAATTAACTAGTCCAGAAACTTCCCTCCACACTTTCTCTCATCCCATGTCCCTTGTTTTTATTTTTCTCTCTTTTCTCCACTCGCCCAAGCAGCTCTCCTGTGGGTCCAGCCCATATGTCTGCCTTGACTAGCCCCGGGCACAGAGCAGCAGGATGGAAAGTGGCAATCTTAATTCAGACATGCAGCACCAGCAAAGAGTTGAAGGGGAAGTCAAATACATACTTTATTATTTATTTGTTTCAGAAGATTGTTCCTAGCTTATTTTTCATCAACTACACATATCTGAAGTCTTTGTTGTTGCAGTACTCAAGCTTTCTCAGTTTCAAGAGCTAAACCTGAAGATAAGCAAATGCCACCTTCCTTTATGTTCACAAGACAACACAACTCAACATCAGTTAGAGAGATCTGTCCTTAGCAGTTCTGTTATTATTTCATTCCACCTCTGCATGGTATCTGTCCTTTTATGATTATCTATAAATATAATAATTATTGCAAAAATACATTTGTTTTAATTTAGAATATGGCAAAAGGGTCCAGGTGGTCATTTCCTGGGACTACAGATGTCTCTTAACGTTTCATCCTGGGATGTCAAACTGAGCCTTGCTGTCAGTGGATTGCCACTAGGATAACAATCTAAGAATTCCCAGAGGAACAGTCAAACTAGGTAGCAGGAAGTTCAACTCAAATCAGCACTGACATCTGGGACTCATCTGACGGGGCAGTCTCTACGTTTGATAAAGACGCTTGAAGCATTTCAGTGAAATTATAAAAACATACTTTCATTTTTTATAAATAACTTGATAACAGTGAATTTCAGAGAGTCCTTATCATACAAACACATACTGTATCTCAGATAATATGCAATTCATTACAGAAAATGATTTTTTTCTTCTTATTGTAAGCATGTTCACAATGCCTGGATTAAAACCAATCATAAAAGGGGATTTTCTTCAGATCCCTTAACCACATTTTAGAAATTAGTGCCATTTCTCCAAGCCTATTCCACACACCAGCTCTGATTTGAAATGTTCTGTATATAATAATAATGGTTTAAAATACCAGGGAGAGATGCTTATGTTCCTCATGTGGCCTGGACCAGGCAAGAAGACATGTTTTGACCATAGCACTCAAAGACCCATCTCCTATCAAAGACATAGAGCGGTGATAAGCCTCAGGCTCTTCATCCTCCTGCTTACAAATACAGCAAGCATCCTCAGGCTTAGTGCTGCTATGATAGTGTGTTGTGTGGGGGTGGTGTATGTTTTGGGTGTCAGGTGAACATACTGTGATGCTGTGGAGAGAGTATTTCTTGACATTGACCTTTGCTGGTATGTGCTTCCCTGACAGTGTTGGTAAAGTAGATCAATATGTGTTGTGAAAGGGATTAACACACCAACCTGTGGCGCTCTTGAGGGTTTCCATAGTGGTGGTGGTGTGTATTGAAGGTGATCCAGTGGAGACATTGACCTTTATTGGTCTGTGCAGCAGCGTTTGTTTTTGCTAGCCAGTAGATCTGTACTGCTGCTGGTGGTGGTTAAAGGGTGATCGAGAGAAGACACTGCCATTTGCTACCGTGGACAGTGGTATGGTAGAGCAGTGTATATTTTGACTGGCCAGATAAACAGAGTAACAGATCTAGACTGACCTGTGACTACTCAGTGTGTATTATAAGAGTGATAAACCGACTGACCTGTGCTGCTCTGGATGGTCCTGACGGTGGTGGTGGTCCTGGGGGGTGAGGCGGGCAGCAGGGATGTCCCCTCATCCTCTGAGCAGCCCTGGTCCATGGCCCTCACGTAGCTGTGGCTACGCATGCGGAAGCAGCTCGGCATGGGCAGGTCCAATGCATCCATGGCCTGCGACTCCATCTCGCTGTACACCTGCTCACACACCTGCTCTATCTGCCCGTTCACCTCCACCTCACTCACCTGCAAGGGGACGGGGAGTGGGGGACAATGGGGGAGAGAGGGGGTGCAGCACAACCGGACATCCAAATATCAGTATCCTAATCCTAACCTGGGGAACGCACCATAGAAAAGCCACTTACCTAGAGTTTAATAGCTGTGCACATTCAATGCTGATGGGCAGAGTAAACACATCTGAAATCATTAGGAGAAGTAAGGAAGAAAGGAAGAGAAATACAGAAGAAGAAGAGGAACCACAATGCAGCAGTAGCAAGAGGAGGAAGAGTCAAAGAGAATGGGAGAGTGAGGGTCAATGTTAATTGGAGAACAAGCAAGTGTAATGAAGAGATTGTTTGGGATGATGAGAGTTCATTCAGTGTCTAAAACAGAGCTCTGATTTACTGAAGCAAGGAGTTGGGCATTCCCTTCTCAACTTGTATTTCCTCTATTTCTGGCATCCTCTCTCCTCGATCCTTTTCAAAACGCATTAAAATAACCTTGGATCTTCGAGAAAAGACAAATTGAGAAAAGGTAAGACAAGAACCAGAGCATCTAAGATGGTTCAATAACATTCTGTAGGTTAGGGTGGGATAAGGAGGGTTTGGATACGGTCTAAAGCATACCACTCCTACACAGAAAGACGAGAGCTTGAGGGGCTTTTGGCAAGACTCATGCTGAGATGTTTTGTAATTCCATCTGATTTTCACTGATAACTGAGGGTGGGTATTAAACAAGAAACAGTTGGTGAAAACTGATTCTTAATCCAAAACTTTATCGCATTTTAGTTTGGGAGATTTCACAGATTTGAAAGATGATAGTCCAGTGAGTTATATTTGTAATTCCAGACATGAAAAGCAAAGGGCATAAGGTTACTCATTAGAAATATTTTGTGTGACTAGTTTACTCTGAAATGTAAGGAAAATACTTTTTATCTACAATGTCCCTGGAATAGATTGCTGTACAATATTTTGATGATTATCTTTTAATCAATGTTTAAATTATTATTTAGCTGAGAGTAACATGAAGTAATGTGTATGACATACAGTATGGAGGTAAAGTGATAATGGTTTCGGTTTTTATAATGATTTATTCTGTTATGCTATCTTCTAAATACTATAAGACAATTCACAATTGGCTTTAAAGGCAGTGAGCTAGGATTATTATACTGGTTGTAAGGCAGACTGTGTAACTCTAGAGAGGAGATATGGTAAATGGAATGGTAGTGCCATTTTACTTCACCTCTTTAGGTTGACTCTTGATGGTTGAGGGCTGAACATTGACATTGAGACTGGTTTGAAATAAAATTCATCTCAAGCTGAGAGATGAATTTGTGGCTGATTTCATGGCTGATTTGACTTGGACTTTGACTTGATGTGACTTTCCTCCCTTGCACAGACGTAGCACCAGAGACGGTGACGTAATGCTGGGAGCACCAACCTGGCTGATGGTACTCATAGCCCTCATGTAGCTCTCGTTTCGCGAGCGGTATTGGGGTGAGGAGAGCAGCGCTTTGGGGTCCAGGAGCCCTTTGGGGTCCAGGGTGTCCAGGCTCCTATTGATGGAAACTTCACTCACCGCCCGCAGGTAGCTGTGGCTCCTGATCTGCAGCTTCGGAGAGTGTTCGGTGGAGATCCTGCCAATGAAGACAAGTCAACAAACAGGTGTTAATAATAATGCCTCCTGATGTTAGCATGATCACTCACTGACAAGGAGTTGTCAAGACAGCACAAACAGATCTGGTATCAGGCTACTCTCTGATGTCCTGGGCTCTCATGACGAATGTGCATGTCATCATCATCTAGTGATGCATGTGAGTTGTAGTCCACTTCACTCTGATCAGCAGTCAAAGGTATGGTACTGTTAGCTGTAGTGACGTCAGATGGACAGCTCAAAGAGAGACGTTCCTGGGGAACTGCCAAGCTGGACAGGTGTCACAATTATGGTTCCATGGATCATCACACTGGAACATTAAATGATACAAATCTTTTTTCAGACCACAATTGAGAGGTATAGTCTATTTTGGTTCGATAACACGCTGTGTCTAATTTTCACCATCAAAACATAATCAAACCAGATGATAGATGATAACAATGTGTTCGATCCTCTCTCATCAAGATGTACATGCTCAGTGCACGTTCACATCAGATTTCCTTAATGCTCACTGTGGTAAGTTAAATACATCCAACAAGATCTCTTGATTGATTGACTCCATGTTTGTCCACTCTGCTCCTTGCATGCATTATACACTGAGTGTACAAAACATTAGGAACACCTTTCTAATATTGAGTTGCACCCCCTTTTGCCCTCATAACAGTCTCAATTCGTCAGGGCATGGACTCTACAAGGTGTCAAAAGCGTTCCACAGGGATGCTGGCCCATGTTGACTCCAATGCTTCCCATAGTTGTGTTAAGTTGGCTGGATGTCCTTTGGGTGGTGGACCATTCTTGATACACAGGGGAAACTGTTGAGCATGAAAAACCCAGCAGCTTTGCAGTTCTTGACACATTCAAACCGGTGCGCCTAGCACCTACTACCATACCCCATTCAAAGGCACTTAAGTCTTGCCCATTCACCCTCTGAATGGCGCACAATCCATGTCTTAATTGTCTCAAGGCTTAAAAATCCTTCTTTAACCTGTCTCCTCCCCTTCATCTACACTGATTGAAGTGGATTCAATAAGTGACATCAATGAGGGATCATACTGTAGCTTTCACCTGGATTCACCTGGTCAGTCTATGTCATGGAAAGAGCAGGTGTTCCTAATGTTTTGTACACTCAGTGTATATACACTGCTTAGTGGAATAGATGCTGGTTACAGCTGCAAAGCTATCTCCATTATGCACTCTCCCATAAAGCAGGTTGGGCCAGCCAGCGACCACAGTGCTGAGGAGAAACAGCTAAATTCACTTAAGGCCGCCCACGCAACTCTTTACCGCCTGCCGTACTGACAGACACCTCGGCTAAGCAGCAGCAGTGAGGGAAGCCAAGCAGAATAGACATCTAGGACAGTGCTGGGATGGGTTGGGCTGGCACCTGAGAAACTCTATGTCTAAACTCCATGTCTACTCTGCTGCTGCAGCATGGTTCTTTTGGTTCAGAAGCTACTACTGAAACTCCACTGTGGTCCAAAAGCCTTCTGGGAGCTAGACTCCGACTCCAGCAGAACAAAATAAATGGAAAAAGTTGGAACCTAAAGTGCTTGAAGGGCGAAGGAAGAGCTGCGGCTGCCTCAGTGTTGGGATCTTAAGGGATTTGGGTTATGCATGATGTCATTGGTGTGGAATAAGCCAATATGTTTCTGCTTCAGTCAGAGTTGGGGTTGTGTCGTCCTTGGACATATGTGCGTCTCTCTCTCTTTCCTTTACAATAGCCTTTTCTATGACATTCACTGTACTGTACCATTAATGGCATGAAATAGCACTGTGTCATATGGTATCCCAATCAATGTTCACAGTAGTCCAGTAATTGTACATCATATAGTAGATCTATAATACACTTCACCTAATATAGCAAATTAAACACATAAACCATCACACTGGTCATTGGTCATAAGTCTCTTAATCCTTCCAAAGCAAATGAAATGATATGCGACAGCATTGGGATCAGTGTACAATAATGACAAAGCATATTTGTGCCTCTGTGGTAATATATCCCTATGACTTACTGTTTGCCATTTGGTAACATAAATCGTATGACTGTGGTGCATTATCTAACAAGCAGTAAAGGCAGACAGATAAATGTCAAGAATACGCACACAAATGCACATAGAAATGTGGGACACATACAATACATCGATTGTTATTAAACATGACCATAACACCATAAAAATATATATCCTAACCGGTCTAGAGTTGAAGTCGGAAGTTTACATACACTTAGGTTGGAGTCATTAAAACTTGTTTTTCAACCACTCCACACATTTCTTGTTAACAAACTATAGTTGTGGCAAGTCGGTTAGGACATCTACTTTGTGCATGACACAAGTAATTTTTCCAACTATTGTTTACAGACAGATTATTTCACTTATAATTCACTGTATCACAATTCCAGTGGGTCAGAAGTTTACATACACTAAGTTGACTGTGCCTTTAAACAGCTTGGAAAATTCCAGAAAATGATGTCATGGCTTTAGAAGCTTCTGATAGGCTAATTGACATAATTTGAGTCAATTGGAGGTGTACCTGTGGATGTAATTCAAGGCCTACCTTCAAACTCAGTGCCTCTTTGCTTGACATCATGGGAAAATAAAAAGAAATCAGCCAAGACCTCAGAAAAAAATTGTAGACCTCCACAAGTCTGGTTCATCCTTGGGAGCAATTTCCAAACACCTGAAGGTACCACGTTCATCTGTTCAAACAATTGTATGCAAGTATAAACACCATGGGACTACGCAGCCGTCATACCGCTCAGGAAGGAGACGCGTTCTGTCTCCTAGAGATTAACGTACTTTGGTGCGAAAAGTGCAAATCAATCCCAGAACAACAGCAAAGGACCTTGTGAAGATGCTGGAGGAAACAGGTACAAAAGTATCTATATCCACAGTAAAACAAGTCCTATATCGACATAACCTGAAAGGCCGCTCAGCAAGGAAGAAGCCACTGCTCCAAAACCGCCATAAAAAAGAGACTAAGGTTTGCAACTGCACATGGGGACAAAGATCGTATTTTTTTGAGAAATGTCCTCTGGTCTGATGAAACACAAATAGAACTGTTTGGCCATAATGACCATCTTTATGTTTGGAGGAAAAAGGGGATTGCTTGCAAGCCGAAGAACACCATCCCAACCGTGAAGCACGGGGGTGGCAGCATCATGCTGTGGGGGTGCTTTGCTGCAGGAGGGACTGGTGCACTTCACAAAATAGATGGCATCATAAGGAAGAAAAATTATGTGGATATATTGAAGCAACATCTCAAGACATCAGTCAGGAAGTTAAAGCTTGGTCGCAAGTGGGTCTTCCAAATGGACAATGACCCCAAGCATACTCCCAAAGTTGTGGCAATGACTTAAGGACAACAAAGTCAAGGTATTGGAGTGGCCATTACAAAGCCCTGACCTCAATCCTATAGAAAAAGCATGTGCAAGTAAGGAGGCCTACAAACCTGACTCAGTTACACCAGCTCTGTAAGGAGGAATGGGCCAAAATTCACCCAACTTATTGTGGGAAGCTTGTGGAAGGCTACCCGAAACATTTGACCCAAGTTAAGGAATTTAAAGGAAATGCTACCAAATACTAATTGAGTGTATGTAAACTGCTGACCCACTGGGAATGTGATGAAATAAATAAAAGCTGAAATAAATCATTTCCTCTACTATTATTCTGACATTTCACATTCTTAAAATAAAGTGGTGATCCTAACTGACCTAAAACAGGGAATGTTTACTAGGATTAAATGTCAGGGATTGTGAAAAACTGAGTTTAAATGTATTTGGCTAAAGTGTATGTAAACTTCCGACTTCAACTGTATATGATAACTGAATCAAAATGGATATATCATTAATGATGACACATACCCTCTGCCTGTAATCCAAGTCAAATAACACAGCAATGAAGTTCCATTCTGTGAGTACAGCACTTCTAAAGAGAATTCCCCAGGCTAATGAATGTAATTAATCACCATACCTTCTCTAGCAGTGTGGGTACTTAATTAAAAACAGAGACAGCCTGGTTTGTTTCTGGGGAGAATCTAATCACATCCCTGCTAAAATGTAAATGTAATGCTGTTAGTGCAAAGTCTATGGAGCCTATGTGTCACGGTTTCGGCCGAGACTGCTCCTCCTCCTGGTTCGGGCAGGCTTCGGCGTTCGCCGTCCCCGGAGTACTAGCTGCCACCGTTGAATGTTTCGTGGTGTGATTGCTTTGGTCTGTCTTGTACACCTGTGTCTGTTTGTGTTCTGATTACGTGTCCTATAAGTTCCCTGTTTTGTATAGGTTAGATTGTGTGTTGTTGTCTGCCTGTATTTCGGAGCTGCGTGTTGACGCTCTGTTTGTTTGTTTAGTGTTTACGCATGGTTTACGTATTCACTCGCCTCTGTTTGTTTTCGAGGCCGTGTATTGTATTTTGCACTTTTGACTAGTAAAGTCTGTTGGACGAAGCCTCTGTGTCCTGCGCCTGACTCCTCCACCACATCCACATCGGTTCACCTGACACTATGAACTACTGTAGGCCTACGTCAAAGAGAGAAAATGAAACAAAAGTGTAAAACTATTACACTTATCTATTTCCTAAAACATTAAATACATTCGTTTTCGTGTAATAAATCAAACTTGTTCTTGTTGATTGGGAAGCCGATTCATCAGTGTGGATGATCACATCCTTACTCCACAGTGCAGTAGTAAATCTGCATGGCCCACATTCAGTACAGTAACCATTGGGCAGCAGATGTGGTAATCTAAGGATCACTTTGTGCCTGCCAAACTGTTTCAGATGCCTAGTGGAGTTCAGAACATGAACAACAGAACTAGGAGAGGCACAGTACACTATCAAAGGATATGCGGCATGCAGAGCTTTAGACAGAAAGCCAATACAAGCTGATTTAGAACACGGATCACAGTCACGGATAGGGATGCTTTTCACACAATGCTAGTGCCTTTAGCTCAACTTTTGTCAAAGATCCTTTCACATTTAAATTGAGAGATGTTTTCAATGCTTAGGGATTGACATATTTGTTCATTGTGCAGATTATAATAAACCTAGAAGAATATAATGATATAACTTAGAATATACTGTACTTTTTCAACTGAAAGGCTCATTTAAAAATTGTTTCTCACTTCATCTACAGTCAGTAGAACTTTCCAGTCATTTCCCCTGGTGTTTGAAACTTTAATACTCTTTACTCACTGAGTGGAACGGGATGCAGGGGAAAATGTACAGGCACCGGGCTGGGCTGTCTCTTGAATTGGATGCTGCTTTAATGAATTCACAAATTCTAGCTGTAAGTCCCAGATATGTCAGAGTGATACTGAATGCTATGAGCAGCCTCTCTATATAATGGTATCAAATTATCAGCAGAAATCCTTGCACTACTTTAAGGCAGTCCAAAGTACCAATAAAGCTGGGGGTCGGAGGACCTCATCCTAACACAGTTGTCTGATTTCTTCATGCTTCTCCCCCACTGCAGTAAACGGGTCATTTAGGTATACTAAGGTGTATACCTAAATGACCCAAAGAATGTGAAATCATAAGGACTATGATAATGAAAGTAAGTTAAAGTCACTTTAAAATGTCATAGAGCGGAGTCTTACTTTAAGGTGGTCATTTCAGTCAGTGATGGCTGGGTGGCTTTGAGATAGCTGGCTCGTCGACCTTGGGCCTGGACCTTTGGCGACGGCTTCGGACTTCCCTCCGAGTCTTCACTGTCTTCTTCCTCGGCCATTGCCTTCACGTAGCTCCCGCTGCGCATGCGTCGACACGGGATGTCGTCCTCCTTCCCCCCCAGGGGCGAGAAGCTGCTCCACTCGTCCTGGGGCACCTGTGGGGACGGGGGAGGTGACAACAGGGCATCAGGCACCTCCACGGATGAATGCATGGCGCCATGAACCCACATCTACCTGGTCCGGTCCGGCCAACCCAGCGTCACAACAACATCCAACGCACAGTCAGACCCCTACCTCTCTCTAACTCTCATACTGAGCATTGAAGGTAATAAATAGGTAATTAAGGGAGAGGCTGGTGTGAGTTCACATGATTACACTAAAAACGTCTTCCTGACAACCTGGGCATCTGCTAGTGTGGAGTCTCCCTAAGGGCACACACAGACTTATCAACAGGATGTTCACAGAGAACTAGGGTGTCTGTCTGAGCTCAAACAACAACATCAGGGTGGTATAACATTTGAGCTAACCTGAAACAAAGTATTTTAAGGCTTTGTATAGGTGAGAGGGAAAGAATAGATTGAAGGAGAAACACAATGAGGTAGCCAGACATATGGGTTAAACTAATTAGTAAAACTAGGGCACAAACACTAGCACAACCCGAACTTCCAAACTATTCTTTATTGTATAATAGTTGATGTGCTAATATGAATACCACTACATCCTCCATCCTGAGAGGGATTATGGTGTCCCTTCTTTATAAGGTTAATTCAGAAACAGTGAAATAATGGGTTACCAGAGAGTATCTATTAATCTTCCAATGATATACCCAATTTGGGTAGTTACCATATTGCATTCAAAAATACTTTGGAGACTAAGTTGATGCTGGAGGAGAGAAAATCCCACTCCTCCGAAGACTTAGTAATTACATGAATCTGCAGAGGGAGAGGAGCCTTGGTAACTAGGGAGACAGCCAGAGCAGAAATGAGCAGGTTGAATATAAAAGGAGGCTGTGGAGTCAGAGTTACTCTATTACCGCCGGGCGGCTGCATGCCCACACACTACAGATGTAGGGTATTAATTTGATCACCCTGTTGCAGGAGAACTTTCCTGCAATGCAGGAAATATAAAACTTGTAGTGTATTTGAGGTGTAGCGTTTTACACTTGTTCCCGTATACGGGCTGAAAATAGCAGATTTGGACACTGATAAGTGCCTAAATGAGAACGCAGTGGCTATACAATAAAATGCTATATCTGAAGTCAGAGCTCAGGGTCTCCGCTTCACAGCTCTGTATGGGTTTTGACTGACAGCCATTCTGAACATGAGCATCACGCGCAACAAGAAGTTGCCCCCATCTCTCCAGATAATTGGGGAAAGTTTGCAAATGTTTTATTGTCTGAGTGAGGGAAATGCTGCAAATTACAAGGACTTGATGTATTTTGAAAGATGAGACTTTGAGGATTATAATAAATACTGCTTTGATGTCATACAAGCAAGCCAAACATCCGTGAGTCCAAATGTGCACTTCACATTTCCATATCATAAAACTCATGCAATATACAGTGTCAACGTATACCATGTTTGATGTACAGTTACAAGATGACATGGAGTTATACCATGGGTTGTCCTGAACAGAATGAGCCTATGTTTGTTGTACTGTGAAGAACATTTGCTGCGGACCACACATCTGAATGCACTCACGACTCCATTCTATGCGCACTAAAATTACGATCCGCTTCTCTGAATTGCCTAGTGAAAGCCTAACACTGTAAGATGGTATTTTATAATTTAGCTAGTCATGTTGGCAATAGAACAAGCTGTCAAATTACGCTCACCTGACCCAGATTGCGATTTTTATTGGACTGTCTTTGGATTGCATAAACAACAACATTAATTGTGTAAAGGCGGGGATGCAGGGCTGAATTTCAAAGAAAACAACTACAAGTTTGCTTGCTCTAGTTCCTCAACGGAACAGCTAGGAGAGCTCAAAAAAGCACCTTATAGTTGAACTCTTCTTTGAGTCATAAAAGTGCATTGAAATGTGTGTGGCCCCTTGGAAACACCAGTTAGACCTCTCACTCAAACTCTTTTCATTTTTTGGTGTTATGTTGCACCTACCCAAAATGTTTCAATAATATTCTTATCATGTTACTGAATGAAGCCCGAGTATTTTCAGATTTCGTTATCAACAAATGCGGCAAAAAGTACAGTAAATGTTATAACGCACCTAAAATCAACAGTGTATTTTAAGTTTTGGATTATGTCTTTGTCTAATTAGGTCTGTGCCCACACGTGCTAGTTCACAGTGTCGCTGACTGCTAAGCTGTGTCTCAATGTCTTCTATTAGCCTATCATATATAAAACCACTCCTACATGTCTGGTATAGCATTGGTTACTATTATTTACTATAGCTAACCGTTCACTGTACACAGTGTGGGGCTGAATATTTGAAGATCTAAATGTTGTGATGATTGGCTAAGGCGGCAGCAAATAATTCCAAGAATATGTCAGTAATTGGGTACTGTGCATGTGTATTTGTCACTGGGGTCTTCCCTGTAGGACATTCATGTACACAATACAGTATCAATATCAACTTAAAAATAACTAACTCCAACATTAAACACGACAAATCGACTCACAACATCCCTGTCAAAATAACTACACTAATTTAGAAGTTTAGATCTGAGATTTGAGAAATCAAAATGCTTAGCTCCAGTTTTTTTTACAGAATTTCAAAAAGCTGCATATATATTTTTAAAAATCTTTTCTCACATGGCACTCGACTCACAGACATATAGGTAATTGGTCTCCATTTGTACTAATAACACAGCTACCACTATCCTATCCCAACCTTCGACTCAATCCTGTCACTAATGTTGGAGGGTGTTTCTATGGTAACAGAGTAACTATATACAGCAGAAAGAGATACAGATGTAGGATCTTAATTTGAGCCAGTTTGCTACAGCAGGAAATGTGAATTATTATGTGGATTATAATTAATGGACATTTTTGAAGTGGTTGATACATTTTCCGTATGGGAAAATCAAGTGTGAATTTCACAGTGGAAGTTACAAACTTCAGAAGCCTTTTTAAATCTCAAATACACTACAAGTTTTAAATATCCTGCATTGCAGGAACGTTCTCCTGCAACAGGGTAATCAAATGAAGATCCTTTACCTGTTGCAGGATAATAGGGAATACATGGGAAACATCTAAGCAGACTAATTAGGTTTGTGCCCACACGTGCTGGTTCACAGTGTCGCTGACTGCTAAGCTGTGTCTCAAAGTCTTCTATTAGCCTATCATACATAAAACCACTCCTACATGTCTGCTATACATTATATACCTATTCAGTGATTAGAAAATGCATTTAGAGTGTAGAACGAGTGAGAGTGAGAAAGACAGGAGATTAACTACTGTAGAGAACAACATATACATATAATTTACATGAACATAATCATTAATAATCAGTATTTGGATATTTCTGTAAATAAACTGAGTTGAAGTTGAGTGCTTAGATCTATTTAGAGGTGTGCTGTTTGTGCTTCTGTTGTGCAAACTGTGTCTCATGTTTTGTGAGTGGAATTTCAGAGGTGATGGGTTTGGCAACATAATCTTTGTGTACAACGTCATGAGAATATTCACACAGTACACACGCATGCTTGCATTCACAGACACACACACCACACCAAATTATTAGTAAAGAATTAAAGAACCCAAAAACTGGGAAATCTATGAAATGAAGAGGTTTATAAACAGGAAATAATGCCAGTCACTGATGGGTTTAAAAGAAAAAAGGCTATTAAAGGAAGTAAGGCCACTACTGGTTTGCACTTACTTCTCTCTTCAAATCAAATGAAAGTGGAGGGGGGATAGATCCTCTCCAGTGGGGTAGGTAGGTGGTTAAGGGGGGTTTGGGTTTAGGGGTGAATTTAAAGAATTGCATACCTGCAAGAACTGGCATGAGCGCTCCTGCTGACAAGCCTCAGATTTCACTAGCGCTTTATGATCTAAGTTTACTGAGGCCTTCTGGTAGACTTGGCGAGCCCTGCTCACCGTTAGACTGGACGACCACAAGCTCTTCTTCATGAGCTGGGCGTCCATGCTTATGGGGATATGGGAGGGGACACAGGTGTGTTTTACTACGTCGTTATTACTGCGCGACGTTTTCAGGGCGTGTTCGCTGATGGTGTTGAAGGCCTCCATAAAGTACTGCGACTGGGACTTGTCCGGGTGGCGGCCCATGGTCATGACTCCGGTGGGGCTGTGGAACAGGCTGTGGCAGACGTCTCGGTCATCCAGGATGTCGTCTGAGCTCCAGTACCCCGAGGTGGGGCTCCTGTGCTTGGGCTCAGCCGACTTGCAGCGCTCCCTGCTCTTGCTGCGTTTGCGGTGCTTCTGCGTGGGGGGCGTCTCGCTCTCGGGGCTGTTCCTGCTGCTATTTAAGCTTCCCTGCTTGGAGTGTGGCCCCTCCAGGGAGTGGGACTTGGCGAAGAGTTTCTGGACGGAGTGGACCAGGTGGCGGATGCGTCCGGGGCTGTCGTTGCGCTGCTCAAGTGCCGTCCTCTTGTACTGCAGCGTGTGGTAGCCGTCCCGCGTGAACGACGGCTGCCTCTCAAACTGGTCCAGCAGGTTGACAGGCAGGCGGACATTGACACCCTTGTTGGGAACAATGTTACCCACACCAACACCCACACCATAGGGCACCACAGCACACTCTTCCATCCCCATCCGATCCTTCAGCTCGTGGTGTGAGCTGCTGTAGTGTCGTCTAGGGAAGGTCCCATAGGGCACCACACTACTGTCTGAGGGGAAGGCAGTGTGGTTCCTCTGGTTCTGCTGGCTCTGGACCTGGGTGTAGTAGGGGTGGTCAGAGGGGTGGGACATGGGCATGTCCATCTGGTTGATCAGGTAGGGCTTGCGGTCAGGGTGGTGGCCATGGCCTAGGGCATCGTAGGAACCAGGGTCACAGGTGACCAAATGGTGGTGGCTACGGCTGCTTGATAGACCCTTCATGGTGTCTGTTCAGTCCACAGACAGTGGGCCAGCCTGGGAACTGCTGCAGATGATGTTCCTGATAGGAGCTGTAAAGACAGGAGTGGAGAAACGACAACAAACTGTTACAACAACTGGAAACGTAGACACTGTTTATTCTATTCCTTTTGTTTATGCGCTTAGTGCTCTCAAAAACAATGCACTCTAATATTATCTCTCAAATCTACTCTAATAATTGTGAAGGTTAGGATTGTGGTGGGGAGAGCTGAGATCCTAAATCAGTATTTTTTAACACATACACAATCTGCTTTGTCAGTAAAGCATTAGTCTCTGAGAGATTATTTTGATTTAAACACTCACAAAACTAGAGGAGCATTAGGTTCCTATCATAGAGAATGACAGACACAGAGGACATGTCAAGGAGTAAAAAGTTTCACTTCAAGAATTCCGTCACAGTTCAGCTGTGATTTATTTCCTCTGCGACACTAGCTAGTTTCCCTGGGCCCACGGTTTTGACCGGCTGTCTGGTATTTTGATGTGCTTGTCATGAGTGAATCTCCATGAATATCAATGGTGGAGCAGAGGGAACGGCATCCTATCCCCTTGTAATGTGTCAGGGTAGACCATTACTCTACTAGAACCATTTGGAGAAAGACCATTTTATTTTCAGCACTTTTAATTTCACAATCCCTCCGGAGTATACAGTATAAACATATATACTGTATATATACACATATATACACTGAGCTATACACACTACCGTTCAAAAGTTTGGGGTCACTTAGAAATGTCCTTGTTTTCGATTTTTTTTATTTTTTTTGGTCAATTAAAATAACATCAAATTGATCAGAAATACAGTGTAGACATTGTTAATGTTGTAAATGGCTATTGTAGCTGGAAAAGGCTGATCTTTAATGGAATATCTACATAGGCGTACAGAGGCCCATTATCAGCAACCATCAGTCCTGTGTTCCAATGGCACGTTGTGTTTGCTAATCCAAGTTTATCATTTTAAAAGGCTAATTGATCATTAGAATACCCTTTTGCAATTATGTTAGCACAGCTGAAAACTGTTGTGCTGATTAAAGAAGCAATACAACTGGCCTTCTTGAGACTAGTTGAGTATCTGGAGCATCAGCAATTGTGGGTTCGATTACAGGCTCAAAATGGCCAGAAACAAATAACTTTCTTCTGAAACTCATCAGTCTATTCTTGTTATGACAAATGATGGCTATTCCATGCGAGAAATTGCCAAGAAACTGAAGATCTCGTACAACGCTGTGCACTACTCCCTTCACAGAACAGCGCAAACTGGCTCTAACCAGAATAGAAAGAGGAGTGGGAGGCCCCGGTGCACAACTGAGCAAGAGGACAAGTACATTAGAGTGTCTAGTTTGAGAAACAGATGCCTCACAGGTCCTCAACTGGCAGCTTAATTAAATAGTACCCGCAAAACACCAGTCTCAATGTCAACAGTGAAGAGGCGACTCAGGGATGCTGACCTTCTATGCAGAGTTGCAAAGAAAAAGCCATATCTCAGACTGGCCAATAAAAAGAAAAGATTAAGATGGGCAGTCTGAGATATGGCTTTTTCTTTGCAACTCTGCCTAGAAGTTCAGCATCCCGGAGTCGCCTCTTCACTGTTGACGTTGAGACTGGTGTTTTGCGGGTACTATTTAATGAAGCTGCCAGTTGAGGACCTGTGAGCTTTTATTTATTTCATCACATTCCCAGTGGGTAAGAAGTTTACATACACTCAATTAGTATTTGGTAGCATTGCCTTTAAATTGTTTAACTTGGGTCAAACGTGTCAGGTAGCCTTCCACAAGCATCCCACAATAAGTTGGGTGATTTTTGGCCCATTCCTCCTGACAGAGCTGGTGTAACTGAGTCAGGTTTGTAGGCCTCCTTGCTCGCACACGCTTTTTCAGTTCTGCCCACACATTTTCTATAGGATTGAGGTCAGGGCTTTCTGATGGCCACTCCAATATCTTGACTTTGTTGTCCTTAAGCCATTTTGCCACAACTTTTGAAGTATGCTTGGGGTCATTGACCATTTGCAAGACCCATTTGCGACCAAGCTTTAACTTCCTGACTGATGTGTTGAGATGTTGCTTCAATATATCCACATATTTTTCCTTCCTCATGATGCCATCTATTTTGTGAAGTGCACCAGTCCCTCCTGCAGCAAAGCACCCCCACATCATAATGCTCCCACCCCCGTGCTTCACGGTTGGGATGGTGTTCTTCGGCTTGCAAGCGGCCCCCTTTTTCCTCCAAACATAAAGATGGTCATTATGGCAAACAGTTCTATTTTTGTTCCATCAGACCAGAGGACATTTCTCCAAAAAGTACGATCTTGGTCCCCGTGTGCAGTTGCAAGCTGTAGTCTGGCTTTTTTATGGCGGTTTTGGAGTAGTGGCTTCTTCCTTGCTGAGCAGCCTTTCAGGTTATGTCGATATAGGACTCGTTTTACTGTGGACATAGATACCTTTGTACCTGTTTCCTCCAGCATCTTCACAAGGTCCTTTGCTGTTGTTCTGGGATTGATTTGCACTTTTCGCACCAAAGTACGTTAATCTCTAGGAGACAGAACGCGTCTCCTTCCTGAGCGGTATGACGGCTGCGTGGTCCCATGGTGTTTATACTTGCGTACTATTGTTTGTACAGATGAACGTGGTACCTTCAGGCATTTGGAAATTGCTCCCAAGGATGAACCAGACTTGTGGAGGTCTACAATTCTTTTTCTGAGGTCTTGGCTGATTTATTTTGATTTTCCCATGATGTCAAGCAAAGAGGCACTGAGTTTGAAGGTAGGCCTTGAAATATATCCACAGGTACACCTCCAATTGACTCAAATGATGTCAATTAGCCTATCAGAAGCTTCTAAAGCCATGACATCATTTTCTGGAATTTTCCAAGCTGTTTAAAGGCACAGTCAAGTTAGTATATGTAAACTTCTGACCCACTGGAATTGTGATACATTGAATTATAAGTGAAATCATCTATCTGTAAACAATTGTTGGAAAAATTACTTGGGTTATGCACAAAGTAGATGTCCTAACCGACTTGCCACAACTATAGTTTGCTAAAAAGAAATTTGTGGAGTGGTTGAAAAACAAGTTTTAATGACTCCAACCTAAGTGTATGTAAATTTCCGACTTCAACTGTACATGCAATCTCCTGAGATAAGCAAGGAGGTTAATGAAGATAGATTTATTTATTTTGGGTGCTTCTGATTGCATGCTGGGAATAAATGCAGCTCTAATATTAACCACAACCCAGTCTAATCACACTCAAAAGAGAAAAGCCAATATTTTATTAAACTCAGCAAAAAAAGAAACATCCCTTTTTCAGGACCCTGTCTTTCAAAGATAATTCGTAAAAATCCAAATAACTTCACAGATCTTCATTGCAAAGTTGTTCAATGAACCATAAGCAATTAATGAACATGCACCTGTGGAACGGTCGTTAAGACACTAACAGCTTACAGACGGTAGGCAATTAAGGTCACAGTTATGAAAACTTAGGACACTAAAGAGGCCTTTCTACTGACTCTGAAAAACACCAAAAGAAAGATGCCCAAGGTCCCTGCTCATCTGCGTGAACGTGCCTTAGGCATGCTGCAAGGAGGCATGAGGACTGCAGATGTGGCCAGGGCAATAAATTGCAATGTCCGTACTGTGAGACGCCTAAGACAGAGCTACAGGGAGACAGGACGGACAGCTGATCGTCCTCGCAGTGGCAGACCACGTGTAACAACACCTGCACAGGATCGGTACATCCGGACATCACACCTGTGGGACAGGTACAGGATGGCAACAACAACTGCCCGAGTTACACCAGGAACGCACAATCCCTCCATCAGTGCTCAGACTGTCCGCAATAGGCTGAGAGAGGCTGGATTGAGGGCTTGTAGGCCTGTTGTAAGGCAGGTCCTTACCAGATATCACTGGCAACAACGTCGCCTATGGGCACAAACCCACCGTCACTGGACCAGACAGGACTGGCAAAAAGTGCTCTTCACTGATGAGTCGCGGTTTTGTCTCACTAGGGGTGATGGTCGGATTTGCGTTTATCGTCGAAGGAATGAGCGTTACACCGAGGCCTGTACTCTGGAGCGGGATCGATTTGGAGGTGGAGGGTCCGTCATGGTCTGGGGCGGTGTGTCACAGCATCATCGGACTGAGCTTGTTGTCATTGCAGGCAATCTCAACGCTGTGCGTTACAGGGAAAACATCCTTCTCCCTCATGTGGTACCCTTCCTGCAGGCTCATCCTGACATGACCCTCCAGCATGACAATGCCACCAGCCATACTGCTCGTTCTGTGCGTGATTTCCTGCAAGACAGGAATGTCAGTGTTCAGCCATGGCCAGCGAAGAGCCCGGATCTCCATCCCATTGAGCACGTTTGGGAACTGTTGGATCGGAGGGTTAGGGCTAGGGCCTTTCCCCCCAGAAATGTCTGGGAACTTGCAGGTGCCTTGGTGGAAGAGTGGGGTAACATCTCACAGCATGAACTGGCAAATCTGGTGCAGTCCATGAGGAGGAGATGCACTGCAGTACTTAATGCAGCTGGTGGCCACACCAGATACTGACTGGCCACACCAGATACTGACCCCCCCTTTGTTCAGGGACACATTATTCCATTTCTGTTAGTCACGTGTCTGTGGAACTTGTTCATTTTACCTCTCAGTTGTTGAATCTTTTTATGTTCATACAAATATTTACACGTTAAGTTTGCTGAAAATAAACGCAGTTGACAGTGAGAGGACGTTTCTTTTTTTGCTGAGTTTATATTTAGACAATGTATCTGTGAGGAGTACTGAGTATACAAAGAGGCAGGACGCAGACGCAGGAATTATCTGGCAACAACGATGCGTCCGCCTCCAGGATGAAGGGATCTGGGTGTTTTAGGATGGGCGCTGTGGTGAAACCTCACCTTCAGCCTCTTGAAGGCAGCATCAGCCTCAGGGTTCCAGGCCAGCTTCTGAGGCCCACCCTTAAGGAGAGAGGTGAGT